ATAATATATAGAACTCTCCAGACGAAATAAAAATAAATAATTAAATATGATGTAATAAAAGGAAAATAAAAATATACAGAAATACATAGCATGATACATTTCAATTTACCAAAATTATATGTTAATATACTTATATACTTATGTATAAGAATACAATATGTATATACTTCGGACAATGGAAAAAGTAATAAAGAAAATTAATAATAATACCTAATAATAAATATAACAATATGGCAATTTGAAGATAATTATAAAATAGTAAATAATATATATGTACACTTATGTATGTATTAGTGCACTACTACTATATGTATATTATATGAAATTATAAGTTTATTTGAATATTTTTATAAGCTCCTCAGTTCGTTCATAACACAAAGTACTCAGAAACAAAGACAGCACTCTCTTGCAAACAAAATTAGTCATATTATTTACTTTGTTAATGCGATTATATTTCGTCGCCTCATTTTCGATATAATATTTAACCAGGCAGTTTCCTTAACTTCCTAGGTAAAACACCGCACGGTCTTTAGTGAAAAAAAAATGTTTTGACGTTGACACTCCCTACCAGGCATCAACCGCCATTATGTGTCCTCATTCCTTTTTCGTACGTGGCAACAAGCATACCTCCACTGCTCCGTTAAAATGTCAAAGCGAACAAACTTAGAAAAAATCGAATATTATAAAATAAATTGAAATACTTGGAAAATACAGATGCCAAACGTCGTCGGCGTTATAGGATCATAATATCATCGGACGAGTCGGACATTGATCAAGGTAAGATTTTTTCTTGCGCTCATAAAAAATGAAAATATTCATTTTTATCATATAGCGCTACTTGCTACTTCCGCAATTATAATAAATGTTCGCTTACATACATCGCAAATGTGAATCTAGCCAACATTTAATAAAACGTCGGGTTAACTGCGAGTTATCCCCAATAACCAAATCGAATATGAGTGGAAGAAAAAATTTATATGTGCATTTTACATGTTTTATAATAAAACTGCTTCGGAGTTAACCGCGAGTTAAACACAATAATGAAGTCGACTGCGAGTTGATTTTAATTTGAACAGTATTAGTACCAAAGTAACGAATATTTTTTAAATTTAACTACGTTGGGGTTAACTGCGTGTTAACCACGATAATGAAATCGACTGCGAGTCGATTTTAATTTGAACAATATTTGTTCCGACGTGGTAATAAGTAAATAATGTTTTAAATAAAATTGCGTCGGGGTTAACCGCGAGTTAACCACGATAACGAAATCGACTGTGAATAGATTTTAATTTGAACAATATTAGTTCCTACGTGCCAATATTATACAATAAGTAAAGAATTTTTTAAATAAAGTTACGTTGGGGTTAACCGCGAGTTAACCACGATAACGAAAGCGATTGCGAGTCGATTTTAATTTAAATAGTATTAGTATTTACGTGCTAATTAGTAAAGTATATTTTTTAAATAAAATTACGTCGGGGTTAACTGCGAGTTAGCCACGATAACGAAACCGACTGCGAGTCGATTTTGATTCGAACGATATTAGTACATACGTGCTAATAAGTCAAATAATTTTTTAAATAAAATTACGTCGAAGTTAACTGCGAGTTAACCAAATCGACTGCAAGTCGATTTTAATTTGAACAATATTGGTACCTACGTGCTAATTAGTAAAGTTAATTTTAAATAAGTTTACGTCAGGGTTAACCGTAAGTTAACCGCGATAATGAAATCGACTACGAGCCGATTTTAATAATTATATTATTCTAAGAAAACTAAAAAATATTTAAAATAAAATGAAGTTGGGGTTAACCATGAGTTAACTGCGATAAGAAATCAACTGCGAGTTATTTCAATTTAAATCCCACATACGTGCAATTAATAAGTGTTAACGAAACACGCCGTAGTTAAAACTCAACTCAATTACCTATCTAATACAACTCTAAAGAAGATCGTTAAAGTTTTAGGCGACAGCCACCTGCAAAACCAATATGCAGCTTCGCCAGCAATACCATTATGTAAACAGGTACCAACCTACCCAGCAATACCATTATGTAACCAGGTTGGTACCTGTTTACATAATGGTATTACTATGCCGGGTATTACAGACTGGTGTTGGTACACCAGTCTGTAATACCCGGCATCGCATTAGTTTCAACGTGGTTTTCCTACGCAGAATTTCCTCTTGAAAAACTTACGAAAAAACATGTTATTTTTCTTGCACTTTGTACTGCACACCGCGTACAAATTGGCATTGATTAAAATGAAAAACATACAAATATCAGATATTCCGATTAAAATTGCAATACCTGATTTAATCAAAACGTCTGCGCCTGGTCGCGTACAGGTCACATTAAATTTTCCATATTTTAGAGAGGATCCAAGTATTTGCCTTGTCGCAGTTTTCAAACATTATATTTTGGTAACACAAAATAAGACAACTGGACGTCAGGGAACGCTCTTGCACATGCTCTTGAACACAGAGTTCCCGACAGAGTAGTGTTGGATGCGGCGCGGCGGATGTGGACACAGCAGTTTCCGGCGCGCATAGCACGCGGTACGCCTCCACGCCGGCCGCGCGCGCGGCTGAGGTGCCGATAGGGCTCATACGCAAGGCTGCGAGTTGGACTCCGACATCTCACATCCTTTACTAGATTTTATAATAGACTAATACTTACTGAAGACGAACACACGTTCGCAAGAACCATTTGCTTACAACATAATCAAACGGCAAATTATACTATTGTAAATTAATAATAATCATCTTTATTTATAAAATTATTATATGATTGTACGATTTAAAAATTGTTATGATTGTGATCTCAGGAGAAAAACCGTTATATGTTCATCTTTATATATTTTTAATAAAAATATAATATAGTTATCGATTAAGCCTCTGGTTTTTAATTTACATAAAATCAACTAGAAGCAAAACTGAATACTCTAAAACTCTACCTGGTTAAATATTATATCGAGAATGAAGCGACGTAATATAATAGATGATCAAACGAACTTCTTGAAGTGAAGTTCGATCACTATTATGTGAGTCGCGTCATTCGAAGATATAATCAACACCTTCAATCAATTATGAAACTCCAAAGTAAGTTTTGCTTCCCACTCTAAAAGGAATGAGGATAGAAAATGGCGGTTGATGCCTGGTAGGAAGTATCAACGTCAAAACATTTTTTTTTCTCTAATAACCGCGCGGTGTTGCTTAGCAAGTTAGGGAAACTACCTGGTTAAATATTATATCTTCGAATGAAGCGACTCACATAATAGTGATCGAACTTCACTTCAAGAAGTTCGTTTGATCATCTATTATACACTAGTGGAGCTAAAAAGAAAGAGAAACTGCGCAAGGTAGTTTTACATGCAGGAACGTCATAAACCTCGGGAATTCTACTCGTTGACTAGTTAATGCGTTTTTTGTATTTACGTTGTCTTAGAATATAGTTTTAATAAAAAGTTGTCGAACATTCAAAACATCAAATTCTTTATAAAGATCAGTCGTGGGATATATAAAGTTTTTAAAATTTATAACTTATAATACGGGCATTGAGGTCAATGCCCTTTCAATTTTCAATAGAATAGTTTTTTTTTGTTTTTCCACCACCCCAGGCAGAGACGCCCTACGTAACTATAATGTAACTATAGATTGCCAAAGAGTTAAGTATACTGTTTTGTTCGTTTTCATGTCTTTTAGGTTCCGAAGTCTTTTAAATATTGGTATTAGTTTACGTATACGAGTTTTAAGGCTGCTGATGTGATTTTCCACGCCCAGGTATTTTATACTAGTAGTTGATGATAGTGTAAAACAATTGCATTTCTTATCATCAATACATTTGTCGTTATGTATTTTTATTTTAACAAGATCACTGGGTTGAAAGTTATTTTTTATGCTAAATGTGATTACTATGTTTTATTTAAGGTTAATAAATTAGACCCAAGCCGTTCTATAATAGTACGCAATCTATAATGGAATGGATTGCGTACTATTATGGAACTAGGCGACTCATTTAACTTTAGCCCAAGTTTCATCCCGAAATAAAATTACTTTATCGTCAGCAAAATTTATTATTTTCGAATTGGACAATTGCGTATTACTTAGACTATTCATGTTTATTAGGAAGAGTGTAGGACCCAGAACAGATCCCTGAGGGACACCAAATTTAACTTTTAAACGTGAGCTAAAAACGTCTCCAAGTTTCACTCTTTGTGATCTATTGCTTAGGTAGTCCTTGAAAAGATCCAATGAAATGCCTCGGATTCGAATATATTCCAGCTTTCTTATTAGTAGGGGGACAGAGACAGTATCAAAAGCTTTGGCTATATCTAGAAATACACCAATACTTTTCTTACCGTCGAGACCCTGTGCGACTTGTGTAACCAAAGACTCTATTGCATCTAGAAAACTTGTGAGTTTCGCTCGGCAACAAAGTTGTTTTGCGTCTCATGGCTTGAAACCCTCGCTGCCCTCAGAATATTGAAACCTAATAAAGCGAAGGAAACAAATAGTTCAACCTTAGCTTCCTTCGCTTCGTCATGTTTCAATACAAACACTCGTGTCAAACAACAACTTTGCAGCCTTGCATAACAAATAACTATTTTACAATAATTGAAGGCGTTAAATTTGAAACCACCTTAATAGTCAAGGTCACAATAAAATTTGATGGAATAATATTCTGATAGAAACTTGTATTCGCCTATGGTGAAATAGACGCGAGTCGTTTTCATTAAACCCAAACACCACCAAAACTAAAGGGACAACCCCGATGAATACGCAGTCTATTGCTCAGAGGATGGCAGAGACATAATCTCTACCAAGGTGTGTCAAAAATATACAAAATGACCGTTATGATATGAAATTATAGTCTATATTGTCTTAATTTGAATTTTTATTTTTTTGTCGAGTCGATCTGGCTTGCGAGTGAAAGTCCGAGGACGTTTCAGATTCCACCAAAAGTCGATCAGGAGCCGGCGAAGGTGAAGCGCGCGCTGGTGCTGCCGATGCGCCGCTGCGTCGACGCCCAGAAGATTGTCATACAGGTCGCCGGCAACGCGGACCGCGCCGGGGAAAAGAGTTCCAAGTCAGTTTGGTTCAGTTATGGCGTAGCAACGTACAACTGCCTACAGATCCTTTACTGTATACCGACAAGAGATGATACACTTCTTGTTGAATAAATTGCACGCGAAACCAAACACTGTCGTAACTCAAAATTGAGGAAACACGATTTGAAAGTGACTATTAACACACAGATCGAACACAGAAAAATTTGTTTGGCGCTGTGAGACTTGAACCCATGCTCTTACCAACCTATGATTAAACTGCCTCCGTGGCCGAACGGTTACCATGCCGGACTGCCACGCAGTGGTCCCAGGTTCGATTCCCGGGCCGGGAGAAATATTTGTATGGCCTACATTTATTTCTCTCGTGATTTTGGGTGTAATATGTGGTTGTCTATGTGTGTCCATAGCATCCGCGACACAGGGTTTTCCTAGTGCGGGGCTATGTTGAGTATGTTGAGTGTGTACGTAAAACAAAAACTGAGTTACAGGTCAAGCTACCGAGCTGTCGAAACTCTCCTGTGTGTTTTTGTTATAGATTTTTGTACTGATTCGGTATTCGTCGCCGCTAGGGACATCTAGTGAGACATATTTGAAAAACCTCACCGCAGCCGGTATCTTCACAGATGCTTCAACTGACGTAAATGTAGCTTTTGGTCGTTGATGTCCTACCGGATCGAAGATATTTTTCTATGTGTTCGATCTTTGTATTAATAATAATAACAACAAAACTAGTGGAGTAATTTCACAAAAAATCTCAATAATACTCGATTAGAATATTTAAAAAAATTAAATAATGAAACCAATAAATATATATTCGTTTCAGGTAAATATTGTGTATAAATAAAAAAAGATAAAAAAATCACTATCAAATAAAAAAATTATCACATTATTCGCAATAAGAGCCATTCAGTATTTTTTTTCTGATTATGTTTTCTCAATTCCACAATTTTGAATTACGACAGTATTTCGTTTTGAAAATTTAGCGAAAATTGCGCTAAATGCCAACATTAAAGATATTAACTCATTGTCACCAAAGGAAGCTTATCCAAATTCAATATCAAATAAATGAAATTGAACAAACTATAGCCAGGCAAGGTATATACATATATGTATTACGTCGCTCATTACAATTTTGATCTGTATACACAAAACTAACTACGCTATATACATAGGGCTCAATTTACATAGTCGCGTAATAAACTTTCATCATCATTGTCATTGTATAAGTTACAAACTAGATAAGAACCAAAAAAAACAGATCGCGCATCTGCCAGAGAATTCTCGCATATTCTCAGGAATTCCCGCAGCTACAAAAATAAAGTCAATTATGCTATGTACGATTTCGTTACAGACAATGCAAATTGAACCTAAGCTGTAGAATAGAGATTGCATGACTTAACAGTAGAGCCATTGGACTGTGACGAGTTTACAATTATGCTATAATAAATGATATACTGTTTTTTTTTTAAATATGGTTTTTGTGTAATGCTGTTGGTAGCCTGAAGTTGTTTTGAGTAAGTGTCAATGAGTAGGTCGATAAGTATCATTGCAACTAGCAGATTGGTGTCGTTATGAATTGCAGGGTTCCAAGCGATGTGGACAAGGAAGAGTACATTCCGATCCCTCTCTCAAAGAAGATTTTGAATTCAGAGTACGCGCCCTCGCGCCGCGAAAGGACCTCTAGTCGCAGAGACGACACGCTTGTCATTGAGACCATGTGAGTTTCCAAGGCAAGCTTGTACTTTCTAATAAACCAAACTGAACCCACCGGAGCTGCAATAAAGTCTATAATCGCAGCTCGCGACAATAATTCCAATGACGTCACCACTTTGGTCCCTGATGTTTTTAATTATCTTTATTTCAATACTGAAATAATACACATGCGAGAATAAAAAATATTGTCTATAGTATTACTTACTAAGGTACACGAATATACCTGCAACACATACTTTTAAAAAAAGGCGGTAAAATAAACGAAAGCACTTAGTTCTTTTTTGTTCTTTTTTTATTATTATTTTTTTATTTTCATCGCGACAATGACTTCTAGTGAGAAGGGCGAAGATATCCTTGCATTGTTTGAAAAAAGCACTTAATATACCTCGGCGAGGACGGGGATTGCCTAACTCGTCTAACACAAGACCTGTTCCTTTACTTTCCCGCCACTGCAATAATATACTATAACTAGATGGCGCGTGTTGCGCCGGGCCGCTAAAGCGGCCTTTTTAAAGTTGTGTCTGGTGACAAATTGGGAATAGAACTTCATATTTCAGTAGAGAATTCTCTTTGGGAGTGGCGGCCATTTTGTTTTGCGAATTTTAAATTTTTGTACTCCCTGTAGAAACTGCCAAGGAAGTGGAGCAACATTAGTTTGGAGACTTTAGGGCTAAAACGTATACTCTGGCCGGGCAGCAGGGGTCCTACCCGATGCGGAGCACATTTCGATAGTTTTGGTACTTTCTGATACTCACCAAGTTCACCCAACCATCATTCGCATTCATCACTCTTATACACTCGCTCTTCTTCTGAGAGAAAAATGCCGTCAAAAAACCGAAAATTCACTTGTATGGCGGCCATCTTGGAAAATGGCGCAATCCAAATTTCGTTCGCAGATACATACTGTGAGCCCCCATACACGATCGCATGTCAAATTTCAGCCGGATCGGAGCAGTTTTATTTCTGGCCGCCATTTTGAGTCCGCCATCTTGAAAATTATTTCTACCTGCAATTGGCTTGTACTATTCTGTACGACATTTGTTTGAGCGCCTCTCTTCTATCTCCAACACTCGCCGAGATGTGGGCCTCAAAGCATAGTTGACGGTAGAAATTGTATGGCGGCTATGTTGGAAAATGGCGGAATTAAAAATTTGACCGCATATTCTTATTACGAGTTCCCAAACATGAAAGGGTATAAAATTTCAGCCGGATCGAAGCGCCTTTTTGTTGGGCCGCCATCTTGAATCGGCCATTTTGAAAAAATAATTTCTACAGCCAGTTAAATCCTGTCGCCCTCTACGATATTAGTTTACACACTTTGGGTCCTACCTGATGCGGAGCACTTTCCGAAGATTACGGTACCTTCTGATACTCATCAAACCCGTCCGACCACAACTGCCCTACATCATTTTTATCTTCTGAGAGAAAAATGACGCCAAAGGGCAGAAAATTCACATGTATGGCGGCCATCTTGGAAAATGGCGGAATCAAAATTTTGACCCCAGTTTCCTATTGTGGACTCTCATATACGGCAGTATGCCAAATTTCAGCCGGATCGGAGCACTTTTTTTTTGGGCCCCCATTTTGAGTCGGCCATCTTGAAAAATATGCTGATGTTGATGGTTTTTCCGTCAAAGTAATTCTAAAGTTTTTCTTTATTATTAGAAAGCAAGTGCGCATTTGACTTTCATCTCACCTGATGGAAAGTGACGAGGGAGCATGCACACCTAAATAATGTCTATTCACTCTCGCCTTGAAAAGGCCCAAGTTATTAACGTTCAGGATATAAGTCTGCAGGCAGGGAATTCCACTCCGTAGCCATTCGCCATATTAAAAGTTTATTTGTATTACACCTTGCTTAAACTATGTCTTCAACAAATTGTTTATGAGCGTGCGTTTCCTGTGTTCAGGAAGCAAAGCAAAGTTTAGACCTATTTTAATATTAACAATTCAGTAAAATGTTTGAAAAAAAAAATTGAATTTACACACATTTACAATAAATCTATTGAACACGAATCTACAATTAAAAAGATTCGACCTCTTAAATGAAATTTTACTATTTCCAGTAACATCCATAACACCACTGTCGATAAAGACAAAGAAACTCAGTTCATAGTGACCATGGACGGGTTCAATCCCAACGCTTTCCTGGCCAAGAAACTCATGACTGAAGGACTACTCAATGATGAGGAAGAAATGAGAGACAAAATCAAGGCTAAACCTGTATTAAAAGCTATTAATAACACTGAACGTAAAGATAAAAATACTGACAAAGACTGCACAACGGAAACCAATCTTGAAACTATAGAAGAAAAACCCAAAGTTGCTCAAAAGAAACGTTCGAGCGACACGAGTGAGGACAGTGACACACAAGTTATTATTAACAAGGAAGAGAAAGGTGACAAACGGAAGAGTGACGTTAGTATAAAGGCTGAAGAACCGACAGTAAAGAAAAGGAAAGCTTCTCCGATAGTATTTGATGTGGAGAAGAAGGAGGACGGCGCGAAGAAGAATAGGGAGAGAGAACCGACTGAGGGTGCTAGCAGTGACAATCATATTATTGTTACTACCACTAGTAATACTCACAAATATGATTCGTTGCCGCCACGTGAGTACTCAGTTTCTTATTTATGTATATTGATTAATTAAATTCGGCTTTTCATTATACACATACCCGCACATTTAGTGGAACTAAAAATAAGTGGAAATATATTATAAATATTAACATTTATACTTAATTTAAATAAATAATAATTTAAATAGAAATATTTTTTTTTAAATTAAATTTTGTGGTAATGCATAAACGTTGTCATAGTTCTAACATGCTAGTGAAATTACAGTCACATGGGACTTGTCAACTTATGTCTCAGGGTGACGGGCGCAGTGCAGTGCCCCTTAAGGTCGATTTTAATCGATTTTATGCTGTGAGTGGCACTGCAACTGTCAACCTATAGCAGTGGGATATTAAAAGAAATTAATGAAATACATGAGAGAAGTAATTTTTTATTTTCAAATTAGATTTCAAATAAAAACAAGTACCGAAAAAACGACATTTTTCTTTCCAACAAAAAAGAATTATCAAAATCGGTTCACAAATGTTAGAGTTTATCGCATGACATAAATACAAAAGAGAAACAGTCGAATTGAGAACCTCTTTTTGAAGTCAATTAAATATAACTGGTTAGCATTAAAAAGAACAACCTTTTTTATTTTGTTTTTTTTAATGTTCCACTCAATGTGCTGCGGTGCGTGTATTACGGGGTTTGAAGGAACTATTTTGTCTTATCACGAACAAATTCAGCACGTACTAAAGAAAGGCTATCTCAAGGGTAACCGACGAGCGAGTATGAAAACATTGACGTTTGTTGATGTATGGACTGTAGGAAGTGGAAGGTCGTCGTCTTCGACTACGCCGACGGGAAAAGGACCTAAATGTATGTCTGCCGTCTCTAACTAAAACCCGGCTAAATGTCAAATGGTCAAATATCCGTTTTAAAGAGAAAAAGATAGAGCACAAAATTCTCTTTGAAAAACAGTTAAAATTAGTTAACGTGTTCGACTTCTCGGAACTTACACTAGCGACGCATAGCTAAGTGGGTTATGGTTTAAAAAATGATTTCGTCGAGCGAGTTGCGGGGCTGACGGCCCGTAGTCCCGCTTTACTTGGCGCGCAATGACGGTCGCGGCCGTGGCGCAGTGGCGGCCGCGGCGGCGCCGGCGCCGGGCGAGCGCCAGTGGTGCCGCGCCTTCCCGCTGTGCCGCTTCGGCGCCGCGTGCGCCTTCGCGCACCCGCGCTGCCGCTTCGCGCTGGCGTGCTCGCGCCGCGCCTGCGCCTACAGCCACCCGCCGCGCGCGCCGCAGCCCGCGCAGCCGCAGCCCGCGCACGCGCCGCAGCCGCAGCTCGGTACGCCTGTCTTTTACAACGTTCGCCAGTCTGTTCTAATGTTGACAGTGTCGAACCTAGTATCGATTTCTATTCGTGCACATGCGTTTTCACAAAACAGGCGGCTTTCATTACCTTTATTGAATTGAAAAGAAAAACTTTAAAATATGTCTCTTTGTTTTTTAATAGGCGTAGTTCTAAATGCAGTGTATAAACTTATAAAAATGTCAATTCCGATGAACCTGTGCCCGACAGTCGCACGAATATGAACAAAATCACGTCACTGAAGTAATAAAATTAAATACTATCGAGTTATCATTATTTGTTGATATCTAATGTGTAGTTCAACAAATATCATTTACACCGATTAATTTTCCGAATGATGATTCTTTATTGCATAAGCACGACAAATATTCAGTCGATAGTCGATATAACATTTATTGACTACAATCCCTAGATGCTCGCAAAAGGACTATACTTTTGCGCAATGAACCATCATATTTCTCTACCTATAGTCATCGTCGTAGACTATAGTCACAACTCGACCGAGGTTCGTCATCGAGTTCTTACATTTTCGCGATTGTAACATCGGAAATGAAACAGTTTTTCAAACAAACCAAAGTTTTGGGCCCTTTACAGGCCCCATGGTCACAATTGACTACTCGCTAGTCAAAAAAATGTTTCATTTCTTTATAGAAAACGTATTTACATTAAACAAAAATCAATGGCTCCAGTCATCTACATCCCTCCGCTTACCGCACAAACTTAATTCTCAGTTTTCTGTCACAGCATCCCACGTGGTACCGGCAGCCAGTTTCAAGTCGATAACTCCGGCGACTGTAACCAACGTCTGCAAATTCTACCCGAACTGCGTGAACCCCACCTGCCACTACTACCACCCGAAGCCGTGCCGCTACGGCAAAGCATGTGTCAACAAAACCGAGTGTAACTTTTATCATGGCGGTGATTCATTGCCGAAGTGGAGATATCCCGTGTAATAAATTCTATTCTATTTATGGATGTGTTTTTTTCTTACTTTTCCTGAAAGTAGTAATGCACTTCTGCACCTAACTCTGTGGCCAGGAACAAAAATCTCAATTCCTCTTCTATTACTTAGCAGTAAACACCTTGTAACCGAGACCCACGAGTAACTGAGGCTGACATGAATCATTAAAAATAACGTGACCGCCAGGATGGCTGGTCGCCTGTGGCGTCTGGTACTGAGTGTATATTCAAGAATTGTTACCTATTTGTTACCTTTTCTAAATAATTGCTACCTTTGATATATTCTGAGAAAATTAAAAAAATAAATGACCAGCCATTCTGATATCAGGATGGTTGGTCGCCACTTTGTTCAGCATGAAGGGAGCAGATTGTCCAGAAGTATATATTACCAATAATTGCTACCTGTTTGCTACTTCGCTTCCTATCTACATTAGTTAAAAAATAAGCGATTCAATATGTTACGAAGAAGTACCAACGCCTGCCCGTTACATTATGGCAATAGAGCACAACAAATTTTTGCTTCTTTTAATTTAATCAGGCGCTTCGTAAAATTTTCAATCACTTACATTTTTTAAACTAATCGTATACCTTTAATTTAAATGATTATTTTTTATATAATATCAAGTGACAAGGCGAACAAGTCGTGCGCCTGATGGTAAGCTACACGCTTGTCCATAACAGTTGCAGTGCCACTCAGAGCCTTAAATCGCAAAGATCTGAGGCGCGCTGCCACTGCGCCCGTCACCCTGAGTCAAGTTGACAAGTCTCATGTGACTGTAATGTCACCAGCTCCCTTACCTTTCAAAACCGGAACACAATAATGCTGACATCACTGCTTGGCGGCAGAAATGGATAAGGTCCCAGTACTTCCCTGGACGAACAATTTGACAACACGCTGTAAATTTAAATGAAAGGGTTGAGGTGCAATCTTATGCAATATTAACTTTAAGCTTTAAAGACGACTTCAGTGGCCTAACGGTTAGGACTAGCTGACGAGGTCACGGGTTCATTTCCGGGTAGGACCAATTTGAAATGAATTTTCTAATGTATTTTCAGGTCTGGTTCAGGGTTCTTTTTTGAAGCTGCTTTGAAAAATGTCCCCAATGCTTCGTGTTAGAATGGCGTGGCGTGGCATGTGTAATATGGCCAAAACGAGAGTTTTGGACATATTAGGAGAGATCCCGTGATCAGCAATGAGCGGTTTGTAGGTTGATACAGACTTCTACAATGCCAAGCACTTAACTACATTCGAAAAGCCCGTATCATTTGACAATTGGTGGGTGCGCAGATTTTTATTGACTATAATTTGTCGCACCAAAATGTGCATGTGAAAAAAGGGGCCAAGTTCGAGACGACTTCAAAATGCGTTCATTTGTGAATTATTTGAGGCTGTGTTTTACGTTTTAAATTCGTTGATTAGTTAATTTATTACCGTAATAGCGCAATGTTTTCATTATTTTGTAGTAAGCTCTGTGCCAAGTTGAAAAACAAAAAAAATTGACAGATTGAATTAAGCAGCTGATAAAACAGCTGTTTACTATGCAAGAGATTTTTTTGGACTATTTGAATTGTTAAACTTAGTACCTACGTGTATAAATGTTAATTAATTGAATTACGTAAATTGTATGCCAAATCGTTGATTGAAATTAGATAATGCAAGATTATTATAATGAATTTGTAATGATGAATGTGTGACATTTTGCTGTTTATTTTATTAGCTGTCCTACAATTCAAGATCGTTTCGTTGTTGCCTTTAGACATGTTTAATGAACGAACTCAACATCAAATTGTAAGTTTCTAAGCCCCTTCGCCCATTGAGAAGACGGTTTTTAGATCCTTCGGCATCCGTATGCAAGCTCACACTGACGGCAAATTTGCGGTGGTATCCTTAGGGTATGCCTACGCACACCATCGCAACGTCGTGCTCACGCCTAGCCTCTATTCAGATCAGTTGTGACGTTAAACGTCCAAACCTGCGACGTATCCCGAAGACTGCCGAGGCATTTTAAACACTGCCGAGGCATCCCAAAGACTGCCTATGTATAAAAAAAGGCTACCAAGGCGTCCCGAAGACCGCCGAGACATTTACTTACACTTACTGCAGCTTTGTTTTCGTAGCTACGACCATTATCATTGAAATTTCAGCTACAATGACATAGCATTAAGGTATATTACTATTCGTCACCTGAAAATCCCCTACCGTGCGTCTTGTCAGTGGGCGTCGGGCCTAAAGGTTTTGAAGAGTATCAAAAGTAATAACTTATGAACCTGGACAGCTGGGGAAGCCTTATTAAACAAAGTTACAAGGGTGTACGTCAAATAGATTTTAAGTTCTACAGCGCCGAACACACTGTTAGTGCATTGCCCTTCGTTTTTGAAACGTCGGCTGATACACTACACTATGTCTAGATTGTAGTAATCATTTATGTTAAGAAGGATTATGTTATACTCTCTTATGAGTTGTGCGCTTTTGTTGAAAGTGGTCGCAGTTGTGACGACTGTCGTAATATTAGGAAGGATTCTCTTCTGGCGTTGGTGACATCTCGCGCAAACTTGGCTATATTTTTGGTCTCTCATACTCGTATTAACGTTTGTCCATCAAGCAGCTTGTACAGCAATTCTAATATAATGAATCACATCCCACCCATATTATCCAATACAAGTGGGAATAAATTCAATGAAGTAGGAAGCATCCGGCGACACCCTATCTTCCTGCTATCATTGAGTGTAGAATTGACCCACGCCCGCGCCGTGTGCGATAACTACAGCGCGATTTTGTGTGTGAAAACAGATTCCTGATTAAGAAAGAAGATAAAGAAACTTCGAGAGACCATAAGGAGTGTAGACCGAGGTAAGTAGAGTACTGTAATATTCACGCATATGAAATCAAATACTGTCGTCATACAAAGTTGTGAAATTGGGAAAACACGATTTGATAGTTTCTAAAAATTACAGAATGAAACCAATAAATTTATATTTCACCTCACTAACTTAAAAAGGCTTTCTTTCTCATTAGAAACCTGTCCGCAAAAGCGTTTTTTGCACGCAGTGGAAAAGGTTTTTGAAATTCGACCTTGACGATGGACTGCGGTGCACCTAACTTTTTCTTTCGATGAAAAAAAATACTAGAGATATATATTTATTTGTAACCATACACGGTAACTACAGTTTACATGTTTAAGATTACACTTATGGTTCAGCGTGTTGCGCCAGTAACTGGAATACAAATGTTAATAAAAAATATTATACATTGTTCGCATTTATTACACTTAGTCATGTTACTTATATAATTAAAATCATATCGTATTACATTATAAAATTAAATTTTGTTCATTAAATAATATAATTAGAGAAAAATTGTGATTTAATAAAAAAAGAGGAACGCATGTCAAAGCAATAAATATGTAGAGTCGCGGATTTCAAAATTTAAATGTCAAAAACTCATTTACATTATAAAAACAATTTGTCACAAGCAATTCAAATAGTATTTTCTTAAATCTAGACGTCGGTAACATTTTTATATGGTCAGGTAATGCATTATATAATTTTACGCACATGTTATAGCAATTCCTTTGAAACATGTGGTAGTGTGTATATGTCGGGCCAAACGATAGGGATATTGGGTTAAAAAAGGAACATTTTTTGAAGTAAATAAATAACTATGTTTTTTGACAAAAATACATATCTCGAATATATATAAGGAAGGAAGGGACAATATTCTTAGTTTTTTAAATATGGGTTTACAGCTATCTCGCATACCAGCACCACACATCGCCTTTACGCACTTCTTCTGTAAGAGAAAAGCTCGACTTATGTGAACAGAGATTAAGTAAGCAAGCAATCATATTAAATAAATAATGCTTAGCATTCATGTAATAACATAAAAGTTATTGAAAGGGACACAATTTTGGAGGTTATCTGAAAACGACCCTAATTTCGAATTCTAAATCAAGTCTCGGTCTTTTGTAAACTACAATGGATAGGTCGTCCGCAAACATGGTACATGGATATTGTGTGACTATGAGCAAATCGTTAATATACAGAATAAATTAGAGAGAACCCAGGACAGATCCTTGAGGCACCCCAACACTATTAATTTTAAAGCTGGATCTGCAAGCAACGTACTCCAAATGTTTATTGACACTATTTACTTCTACGCATTGAGTTCTCGCATGAAGGTAATCAGCTATTAAATCATTTGCCCTACCACGTATTCCGTACAGTTCCAGTTTGGATAGTAATGTTTTGTGACATACAAAATGCTCTACTCATGTCAAATAGAATGGAAGTAACAGGTATCCATAAAATATTTCTAACAAACGAATAACAAGCTAAGGTAACAGACTTGCCCTTCTGAAAACCATGTTGTTCAGGTCTTATCACTTGAAACCTGGTAATAAATGACATCAACCTTGCGTGTAAGATGTTTTCCTAAACCTTAGACAAAACAGGTATCAAAGTCATAGGTCGATAATTTTGCAAATTTTGTTTATCATCTTTTTTGAAAAGTGGTTTCACTATTGATTTTTTTAAAGTTGGTGGGAATATTGCATGTTCAAAAGACAAATCAATGAGTTGTGCCAAGATGGGAGCTAATTCGTCAGAGCAGGCTTAGCAGGTTGAGTGTGTATTATCAAACAATTCGATCTTTTTTTTTAACTCCATTATCATCAGTGGGCGATAAGAAAATTGTAGAACTATTGTGTTTTAGCAACCCGAGGTCACATTTTTTTGATAATTGAGATTCGTTGTTAGTTAAATTAATAAAATGGTTATTGAATTAATGTGCAATGTCTACAGGATTATCTAGTTTAATATTGTTCACTTTTATACATTTTATTATATTTTTATTGTAATTAGAATTTTTATTATTAATTATATTCCTTGTTGCCGTACATTTATTTTTCGCTTCATTAATATATTTATTATTGTTAATTTTTTGCCCTTGATTAATACATTTTTTTAGTAGTTTATTGTAATGTCGATAAGCAGACTTTTTGCAGGGGATTTATGTTTGTAATAACATATTCGCAATTTTCTTTTTTTAGCACCCGAAATTCTGAGTCCTTTTGTGAGTCAGGTCAATTTAGGCGAGGAACATTTTATCTTTATTTTATATTTTGGAAAGCATACATTATATAATAATTGTAATTCATTATGAAATGTCGTGAAGATTTGTTTCGGGCTACCAGATTGTAAAATGCTAGACCAAGGATAGGTTGCCAAATAGTACTTAAATTTTTTAATATTATTATGATTTAGATCTCTTTTCATTTGATACCAGTACGTCATAGATTTTTTTCGCTTTCAACAGGTACAGATAGGAACTGTGCTGTGTCATGGTCAGTCAATTTCAGTTCTATTGTTTTACCTACAGTATTCTTAACGGTGCTAGCAAAGTGATCAATAGAAAATTTTTCGCGTGTAGGTGTACGGATATGTAGATCAAGGTTGTAGCATTCCAGGATTTCTTTTAAGCGGGCTGAATTTTTTCCTATAATTAAGGTATTCCAGTCCTGTTAAAATTATATTCCTTTTCTTAGCTCTTAAGTTCTCCAATAAAAGTTCAAGTTTCTCAAAGAATACTTCAATATCTGCGTCAGGAGTTCAATACATGCATATCAGTATAAGTTTATAATTTAAGATTTCTACACCACAAGACTCAAAAGTGCGTTCCGAACATTGACCTTAGGTCAATGGTACCGAAGCAAATTTTTTTACGAAACATAATTCCCTCAACTCTACGGATCGGACACCGAAAATACATACACCCCCGCGTTTATTTTTCTTCTTTTGTAACACTACCAAAGCTCGCGCCTAAATTATAACCATTAATCTATATATTAGATTCGTGTCCCAGCGGAATAAATTTTTCTGTTATATAAATTAAATCAATAGGTTTTGTATAATCTCTATATATGTTGTGAATAGCAATTTCTAACAGTTCTTTTTTATTCAGAAGACCAGCTATGTTTTGATGCATAATGTGTATTGTCTCAATGTTATTTATAAAAAAGGATCGGTATTAGGTATATCTTGAGGCTTTTGTTGGGGATATTCTTGACTTTTTATATATAAATATGGTTGTGTTTGTGTGTAGTTACAGGGAGGAAATAATAAGTAACTAGTTTGGCATCTTTTGTGTGATAGCTGACACAATTCTCTAGTCAGAGCAAAACACAGATTTTTTGCAAAGACTTTGGAATCACACTTTGACCTTTTATAATTCATCTTTACAAAAGTGCAATGGGGGAATCCTTGACAAGTTAGTTCTAATCCAAAGTTGAGACTTGTATTATTTAAGCATGCGTTAATAGGTAACCCACATATAATATTATTAGTATTGGTCATCGTATACAGCGATTTAAGTAGCTTGGTTTTTAAATAAAATGAGTTTCTATTATTCATCCTCGCAGCAATTATGAGATCATCTTGCTTAGTGAGATGAGCTACATCCATTTTACAGGTGTTAATTACTTGAATTAGATCCACGCTGCGTTGCCGGAAAGAGAAAATATCGTATTCATGGTCGATTTGATTTTGTAGAGCTTCGCGTAGTCCTTGTCCTTGTTCGTCCGCCAGCACATAGATTCTATTTCGTTTTTGAGTATTATAATTGCATCCTTGTCGCTGTATACTACTTTCTTCGGTCATTTTACGCGAGATATTCTCCTTGTTACCTGAATTAATTTGTTTTATCGGGATCAAATCTTCATTTAAGTTACCGGTGGATATACCTGTTGTTCTGGGGCTTAGGTTGTACTCATTTTTCATTTTATCAAGCTTGTTGGCATTTCGTTTATGCCGTTTCCTTGCTGTTTTTATCATAGTTGAGTTCGTTTTGGGTTAGCACAAATATGTAATAAGTATTGAATTTTCTATTATCTAATTTCTATTATCTAATCTGACCTTTTCTAATATAATGTTTTCCTTTTCATTTCCTGTGGCTTGTAAAGCTGTTCTCAAGTCATATATTTCCCTTTTTGACGATTCAAGTTCTGTATTTTGTAGCGTAGACATATCAGGCAGACTTTTGTAGGGGTTGCTTATGCTAGTTTCTGATAAGTAGGAACCTGACGAGCCTACAATCGAGTTGGTGCCGCAGTTGGGTGAGGGCTGCTTATTTCGGTGTGTGACATATTCTTCAAGATCTATCTGCGTTATCTGAGATTTAAGACTACAGGAAGCAGAAATTTGTTTTGGTGTAGATGAATGGATTTTTTGCTGAGTATTATTCGAACATTTGCGACATTTCCAGTTAGATTTATTCTTCATTAAACGAAACAGTTTATAGGATACGCTTTCGCAATCTAAATGGTAATCATTGCTACAGCTTTTGCATTGAAGAAATTCTTTATTAAGCATCTTCTGTATCAGAGTATATTCTCTTTTGTATAGCAAGGTGTGTTTGTATAGTGATATTCAAATAAAACTAATTTCGAATATTCGAACTTTTTTTTCTTTCGGTGGTCATTAACGTCCCATTCAACTACGCGACTTGTCGTACATTTCTATTTATCTATTAAAAATCCGTTGGCATATTTTGTTCTTATTATTGTTGACATTAAATTGACAATGATAACTAATTGTGTTTATTAAATTGTTTTAATTTGTCGAAGAACTAAAATAATTTCAATAATCACTTAATCACACAAAATAAAAGTACAGTCAAGAATAAAAATTGATGAAGTGTAAATTCAGACCGCAATCGAAGATAAACTTTTTCCTTTAATAAAAACATTGATGTTTTTTAGTTCAACTGTTTTTCTTTCATCTGTCATTTTCCTCGCTTTATAGAGATGAGAAGTTGTGTTTCGCTCGGCAGCAAAGTATTTTGCGTCTCGTGGCTTG